ATTACATCTACAGCTACATCTTCATATCATACAGCCTTTTGATAATAAATCTTCAAAAGAAACTCTTTTAAATCTTTAGATATGCCTACAAATTATTTTAAAGAGAATCTTTTTGAAATAAAAATGATTTTCATTACTGTTAAGCAGAGACACTGCTAAAAAAGGACAATTTTTTTTCAAAATAATCTTCAAGTGACATTTAAAAAAAAAACAAAAAATTAAATGAATTAAACTAAATTAATTAATTAACTAAAGCCTTAGAGATTTACTCACACTTTGTGGCAAACATGCCATATGCAATATATCAGTTGTGCATGAATATTAAACCAATATTAAAACACTTACAGTAAAATAATAGAGTAACTGAATGCATCAATTCCTGGTGTACACCAAAAAAACATCAAAGATCCAAATTAAATTATGTGCATTACAGCTGTATATAGAGTAATTAGTAATATAGAGCACCTGAAGAAGGCTCCACGGCCGAAACGTTGTGTTTTCTTTCTTCTTTTTTTCAGCATGGAATAAACATATAACTTGTTCCTATAGAGTAATTATCTGAGTAATTACATGAATTGTACCTACTGTATAGTTTAAGAACATTGATTGACTGCCTGAATGTGTAGTATTATCTAGATCTAAGGACCTAGTTCTAGATCTAGACCTAGTTTTGTAAAAAACAAAAAATTGAGAATAGCTCTTTGTCTTCAGTAATTAGCCATCAAATACAATAATCATCACTCTTATGGGCCATATGACATTCTGAGGTTTAAGTAGAGCGTGAATGAAGATATGGGAGTTTGGCGAGGTCACAGAGTCCTCTTTTCATTTGAGTTGCCATGGTTCTTCACATAGCAACATGTACCGAAAGAACAGTACTATTACATCATTGCACCAGACAGCTTCGAACATATATGCAGTCACAATATGAGGACTACTTCAGTGAATCAAGTACCCAAATGGAAATGCATTTTTATTATCCAAAATAAGAAGCACTTCTTTAAACAAAGAGTAGTGGTTGTCTGGAACAAAATGCCAGTCATGTTCTCGAAGCTGAATTCCTGGTATCTTTCAAGAAATGGCTGGATGGGATTCTCAGATTGAGAAAGCAATAGCAATAGCATAGGAAAAATAAATACCTTATTTCAGCCTGATATTATTTTCATATGAATCTAAATATAGAATATGAATTTTATTTTTATATTGTCCAGCTTTGGCATAATTCTTCCTTTGGGAAAAAAAAGCATACCTTTTTAATGAAGTCTTTCAGATCACTCAATACTTAGTCCATGTTTACTGTGGAACTGAAGTCAGGCTTGATAATTACTGTATAAGACTGAGACAGGCCTGTTATCTGAACCAAGGAATTAGTAGTTCTTGAACTGAAGAAGGTGACTAGAGGAAACAGAGTATTTAAATTGATAGTTATTTATTGTGAGATATGTATAATTTGATTCCACTATTTATACTTGATGGTTTCATTGGCAAGCTACAGTGCTTGAAAACCACGGTTTTCTTTATTCTCACACCTAAGCTAACAACTCTCCTGATGTGTTACTTTTGTGTTAATACCTGACTGAAGTGGAAAACCTGCATTCATAATGGTAAGGTTTCAGATATTTGGTGACGAAAGGTAATTGTTTTAGGCCTATGCTCTAAGAAATAAGACAGTGTTTAAAATAAGACTTCTAAAAATCAAGCCTTTCAACTCCTCACACACACAAAATAAGTTCAATGCTTAAACTTTCAGTGTTCTAATTCTCTAGCATACTATATTTTATCCCCTTTTAAAATACCTTTTGTCCACATTTCGAAGCATAACAATTAACCATAATTTACAAACATACAAAAATATCTCTCCATACCCAATACTCCTTAAGTGGTCAACATATCAAGCATGTAGGCAACTGGTGCAATTTTCCAACCAATATAATTTCCAACTCAACCAATATCATTTTCTGATATAATTGCCGATATAAATCAGCTGCCCATGTTTTCTGTTATATCATACCTTTCTATGATTAACTACACTTTTACTGTTATACACAGCTTTATTACCTGTAACTGTACTTAAACCACATTAAGAAGACACATTTTGTAATGCTTAGAACACCCCAACAACAATTTTATATGTTGTCCAGAGGTATAAAATTTTAACTTAGATTATGAAACAATGTACTTACAAAAACAAGTTACAGAAAAGAATGAAATGTAAAGAATATTATTCTATATTCTGCAGTGGGGCAAAGAAATCTAAACTACTTACTAGTAGTCAATAGGACACATCCTTTGTACACATGACCTCTCTAAACCAGTACCACTCTAAAATGTTGTTAAAATAGTGAGAATAAACTGGAGTCATTCTGAAGCCCAGGGTAAATACATTTTGCTTACAGAGAGCATTGAACCAGCTTGATTGGTTTCTATCTAGAGAACAATTGATTGTCGATAGAGGCTTTTTATGTGAATTACATAAAAAACCCACAGAGTGGCTAGCCAAAAGTGGTCATTATTTCCAGGTGGCTGTCAGCAGTGATTAAGAGGCATGGTTTGCCACTATATTTACTGAGGAAATGCAATTAATAAAGACACCATGTAGGTTTTTGTCACTTGTCCTGGTTTCATTTATTTGATTTTCTTTTATTCATTTGGGGATTTCAGTCAAAATCAGAAACGGATTGTAAATGTTGATGTTAGCAAGCATTTTAAAAAGAAATGTTTGTAATAGTTTCATTTGCTTTAGTTTTCTTTGTTTTAGATAAATTATGCCTTCATTTACAGATTAATTGAAATGCCAATTCAGTTCTGTCAACTCAGTTGTTTCAGCAATGTAGAAGATGCTGAACAGATATTTATAATACTGGATAATAATCTGCATTTAGTGCACAATCTGCATCATTCTGACTGAAGCAAATGAACAAGTGGGTTGTATTCCCTAGAAGGCAGTTTTTATCTTGGTTTGTTGGAGGGAAACCTATTTTGAACGGTTTCAGAGGGTTTCTTATTCTGGAATAATCCTGGTTCATTGCAGGAGCACATTGTTAGTGGCTGATAATAAGTTTTGCTTTGGGAAGACTGGGACATATTGGATGGGAAAAGACCATCAGTGGTTTTGAATATCACCTTGGAAGGGGGGAAGGAAGGTTTGGAGAATAGCAGGGATTCATTAATTTGGCAGACAAACAGCAACTGGCTAAATTTAAAATATTTAAGTTATACAGTATTTGCATTAAGTATTCTATGTTTGATAAGAAAAACAAGATAGACAATAAAGTAATACAAATCCAAGCAAAAGAATTGAGCAACATATAATGCATCTGTGAAGGTATTTTATACCTAGAACAAAGCGGTACAGTTTCTACCATTTTTGTAGGGCACTAAGTATCTGTTTAAAATGGTCAACATTAGCAGCACAAAATGAAACTTGAAATGCCATTCCTTTTAACAAACATCTACGGTTGGACCTTTCACAAATTTAAATTTCCTATTCATCCCCTTCATCCAAGATTCAAAGCCCACACAGACCTTAGACAGCATTCAGACAAATTCTGAATACTTGTTGTATAATAATTCTAATTATTTTTCAGGGACAAGTAGCAGATTTAATTAAGTGTGTTAAGTGCAATCACTCGACTATCAGAGAGGGTCTTACATAGTTAGTATATCAGATACACACAGTTTATGGATCATTGAGAGCATATATTAATTAATGCTTTTTCACAGGTTGCTTTGGTACAGAAGCAGGTGCTGCCTGACATTTAACACCAAGGTCATACTGCACAACAAGGTGTTTCTGAAGATGAAACCTTGTAAAAATAGTACCAATACACTAACAAGCTCTCTAAATGCTGTAAAATGTACAGTCATTTCACTCTATATTCAATAAAGAACAAAGTTAATTCAGTTAATTTCACTCCTTTCCTAACATATCTAAAACATATTTTCAAATTTTAGAGTAAGGCAGCATGACATAAATTTAACTAAAAAGAGAAATGTGCTCAAAACGACTAGCTAATATGAGGTTCCGTGTTTTACTACTGTATAATTTTGCAATCCTAAAACAGATGCAATGCAAAAGTGTTCTCTTTCTGAAAGTCTTTTTTTTAATGTGGATTTAATTTTTGAAGTCTCATTTATAAAACTGACAAGATGGTCACTTCACAAACACGCACATTCCTTGAGTTTCTGTTGACATTTCAGCTTCAATATATATATATATTAAATAAAAAGCAGGGAAAGAAATTTAACTTGCATAATGTTTTCATTTAATAAATAAAAGATTGATCTCTTTAATTAGCTAAGATACAATTTGCAATTTAAAAATTTAAAGGTTATGTCATGCTCTGAAATGCATTTCTGGCACATGGACTTTTTACTGAAATATAGTAAAAAGATGCTTTAATTTAAAGTGTTTGTTTTACACATTTAAACATTCTTGCTATATCTCTTGTTTTGATGGGGAATGAAACACATCCACTTAACACCTAATACTGCCAATCTGCAACTCAAATTAAGCAATTAAAGAACAAGGTAAATTTAGATGTCTTTTACTAAAGGAAAGTAGATTTTCTGTACTATTTAATTTATTTTATGCATACTTCACAGTGGTGTTAGGAGCACAGTGGGGTTTTTTTCTTATTCACACCAAAAATACAAAATGAGCATTTCAAAGTGCAATTGTACATGTGGCACTTTAAAGCTCAGGGCTATATCCATTAACAGAAAAAAAAGTAGCCTTGGTGACATGACAACAGATGATAAGTGGCTCCTTTTGGAAGTGATACTCATCACTATTGCCCGCAGATATGAAAATACAAACTGATTCCTTGTATATTTATTTAGTTACAGAGCACAGCCTTCCCTCTCCTCTCAGCATGGAGAAGTTATTCTGAATGGATGCTGTAAGAGCATCACAAGCCTCGGACGGCTGTTCCCATAGCAACAGAGGCAGTATGAATAAGAAGGTATAAAAAGCCACACACCTCTTCCCTTAGCATCACTCAGCTACACGCCACACACACAGGGACTGAAGATGCAAAGTGTGAGCTAACTCAACTTGTAGAATTCATTAGAGAAACTTCAGTAAAAGAAATCTCCTGAATCAAAATAATAGAAAATTGCAGGCATGCTTCGTCCAAAAGACTTGTGTCAAGGATCTGGAACCAAGACTTTCTTGGAAGCCATGCATAGTGGCAAAGTGCATTTGGCTCGCTTCATCTTGGATGCCTTGGATGGAAGGATAATCAACTCCAAAACAGAGAACAGCAAAACTCCTCTGATGTTTGCTGTGTCTCTACCAGACCCCGCAACCAGAGTGAAGTTCACTAGACTTCTTTTGGAGAAGGGAGCAGATGTGAACTGCCAGGACGATGAGGGAAGGACAGCGTTGAGCCTGGCGTGCGAACTGGGACACCTAGATGTGGTGAAGCTTCTTGTGCAGTTCAATGCAGACCCTGAAATATCTGACACGTGGGGTAATAGTGCCCTGATGTATGCTGCCTGCTCCGGTCACAGCCAGGTTTTGGAATTTCTCATCCGAGCTTTCAAGAGACTTGGGCTGAAGCTGGACAGGACCAATCAAGCTGGACACTCAGCCATCCAAGTGGCGAATTTCTTTGGACACAACCAGTGTGTCCAGGCACTGAGCATCCCAGGAAATAAATGCCTCGGTTTGGAAGAGCAACTCGTGGATGTGAGTAGGAAAGAACAGGGAGAAACACGGCGGCCCAATCGGCTACCCAGACAAGTGCTGGAAAGGTTCACCAAACAGTTCCACAGTAAATGTGAAGATCACCTGCCTGCTGTGTTTCAAAAGCAACTCAGAGTAGGCGACAGCAATGGACTGAGAAAACGAGTCAAAGTTCAAAACCAGTCCCCAGAAAAAAAAGGCCAGCAGCAGCCTTTTATCAATCAGCTTCACAGAAACGTCGACAAGGATGGCCAAGAAATTAAAAGCACAGCTCTTTTCACAGTCAAACAAATGCAAAATTGCAAACTGAAGGACAGAAAGGGTTTTAAAACAGAAGGCACAGCAGAGCAAAGTAATGCAGGTGGGTACAAAGACACTGAAGTTACACAAGAGGAGATAGAAAGAATTCCAGTCTGGAGCAAAGCAAAGTCATTCAACAGCGAGCAATCAGATCAAGGTGGTTTGTCTGACACAACCGATCCCTCCATAAGAGTTAGGAGGGGGTCACTTCAGGGTGAGCAATCTGTAATTGCAAAAATGCAGTACCAAGAGAACTCGTATTTCGTGATGAATGACTCTGACAAATATGTCACTGCGCCTAAAACGCTACTAAATCACAAGAGGCGGGAGCAATCTGTGCAGCTCGAACACAGCCAGCCAGCAAATATAAATTTGAGCTCTAAAGAAAATGACAGCTCTGCGCACTCGGGAATAAGAATGTGTCAGAAGAGACTAAGCCTTCCACAGTACGGGCGCCCAGACAAACTTCTCACCCAGAGAGTGGAGATGCCACCGGAGAGGATCCAGATGAGGCCGCCGATGATTTCTGCGTTGGGAACACGATTACTCCGGAGGTTCACAGCCCCAGAGTTCCTGAAACTGGTAAAAGACTTCCCCTCTGTGTCTGATGGTGAAAGAGTCAGGATGTCCAGATCCGAGACTTTTCCGCTTTCATACACGCACCAGAAAGTAAATAATCAACCAAGCGTCGACAGCATCAGTGGAGTAAAATGTGAGTTTGAACATAATGGCTACAATGTCATTCATAATGTGTAAAGATTATTCATTAAAACGTCACAAAAACATTATTTCAGAGCATTCTTTAAATAAGGAAAAAGCTACTTGTAAAAAAGAACGGATACTTTAATAAAAAATGAAATGATGAAAGATTAACCATATTTATTCAATTACAATACTGAAAAGTAACGTAAACATAATCACTGCAAAAGTAAGTATTTATAGAATATTTTAGCGGAGATAAATTATTTAAAAATTAAAATGTTTTAATATCTATGTAAAGAGCTTAAGATAAAAGTATCACGATTGCAGAAGAGTGACAACTAAAACTGATGTTTAAGGAAAACATTTCTAAAAAGCATGAACAAAAAGCTATAAGCTATAAGCAAAAAGCTATAAGTCCAAGTCATGTATACTGTAGATAGAATATTATATACTGCACCTTATCGCATTGAAGCTGAATGTACTGCATCTGTATACATTTGTAGCCAACTGTGGCATCAGCAGTAGCAATGTTGTCCTATTGTGTCCAATAGTTACAAATGAGATGCAATCAAATGTATTTGTCTTAAAGAAACATATTTCTGAACCTAGTGTGTTCTAAATATATGACCGTTTTTGCTGTAATGTTGTTTTTTTAATGTTAATAAACTATAATAAATTATTAACTTCGTCTATTGTGTTTTGTGTTGGTTTTGATTATTCTTTACAAAATTTACTCTATCGCCTTTCATTTTCTCCGAATTTCCTCCAGTGTTTTAAAACGCAAAATAACTACTTATTCAATGTTTCAATGTGCCATCAAGGCAATGATAACAATAATAATAATCCAATACTGTTCAGTGGGTGAAACCAGATGTAAATTAAGTAATCAAACTAATAACTATCTTTGATTACATATTGAAAACGTTTTATTTGAAGAAAAAAAATATCTGTTTTCCTCTATTTGATGAAGGGTTTGAAAAGAACTTTCTCTGGAAAGTTAACTTTCTTGTATGTCTCCACATTAATCTGATTTCAGATTTTTACATAATCGTACATAATGTATAGAACAATTTATGGGTTAACATTTTTACAATTAATATTATTCTCTGTCAAGTGATTTTATTAAAAGAGGCCTGGGTCCAAATTTGGACCTATAAAAGTGGGTTCAATGCACTATGTTGCACTCAAGATACCATACTGCTTGGAAAGACCCGAAAAGCAATCAAGTCTCATTTCTGCAACTTATAAAAAGGAAAATAGCATTCTGAAGGGTTATTTTAGATGCAGGTCTGAAACTAACTTGCTGAGTGTGTAAGCATGTGCACAAATAACACATGGGATTTGAAAAGCAGACGAGGATGTAAGAAGCAGACACAGACACCAGTTAAATAAAAGCCTTATAGTTCAGAGACTTATAGGTGAAAATCAAAACAAAACCTGACCGGAAGCAAGTGCAAGGACACCAGGACAGATGTAATTTGATAATTTGTACTTGACCTGGTCAATAGTCTGGTTGCCCAATTCTGGACATATAGTTCTGAAGTTTATTCTGAATGGATTTAGATACTCCCCCAAGTAGGGCATTGCACTATTCAATTCTAGAAAAGATGAGTAGATGAAGGTGTTGGTCAGTTTTTTGTTACAGTCAGAGACAACATAGAAAGTAGTTTGGCAATACTTCTGAGATGGAAGAATGATGTCTCTATAATATTTTGCACATTAGATATTTAATAGAGCCTGGATTAAATATCACCCCCAAATTCTTCAATTTAGATTGAAATTCAAGTACAGTACCATCCACAGATGGATGGTACTGTACTTGAATTTCAATCTAAATTGAAGAGTTACAGAGTTACTGCATTGGTTTTAACCCATTGATGTGAGATGCAAAGACGCATGACTTCAGTCTTGGTGCAGTTTAAAGAAATTAGTGTATTTCTCTGAAAGCTTCCACTACTGTATTTCACCATAAAGAAAGAGGTCATTTACTTCATTTAATCTTTTGGCCAAAAACAAATCAAAATAATATAATTCTATATTTCTCTTTTACAAGGAGTCTAGCTGTATATTGTTAATATGGTATTAATGCCCAGCCTTTCTGGGAGAAGGTTTAATGTATCACCAGTTTGTACTACCTGGTTATAGTGTAAAAATCTACAAGTTAGATAAAACCAACCTCCCTCTACACATGCCGATATATTGACACATCTGTTATCTTAATAAAACCATGTCAAAGAATGTTTTCAGACATCTTTACATTTAGTGGAAAAAATCAAGACGCCTCAGAAAAAAGTTCAGAGATGCCTCATAAAAAGAGTTTCCCATTCAAATCAACAATAGACTACTGCTATGTTAAGTCAACTCTAGATTAGTGTTAGAATTAAATACTGTATTTACAGTGTGAAGAAACATTCAACCACTTTTTTTTAAATACATTTATTTCCAATATTAAAAAGCTTCCATATTTTCAACAGTTTTCTGTGACTTTATCTCTTAAAGGAATGCAGGGACATCTTGGTGTGGTGTGGTACAAGATTAGCAGTATCTCCTCTGGTGGAAGAAGGCTCTGATAACTGTACTGTGATGTCTAAAAAAACTCTGGACTGAAGAACTCTGGACTCTGTTCCTAAAATATGTTTTACAGTGATATACAGTACTGTATTTCCATCAGTACTGTGGAGTCTAAAACATTCCTGGAATATATCTTTCACGTGTGTGAGAGAGAACAATGCAAATGAAATATAAAGAAAAAAACAAATAGAAGTCTTACTGTATAGTTACATGTGCCATTAAAACTGCACAAAACTAATTTCCTTATGTGTCTGTAAAGTCTGTGTGTTTTTAAATGGGAAGGCTAACATTTACAACAATGCAAACACAAAACCTCCAATTTTTATTATCTTTTTTTCATTTTTAATTCATTCATTGTAAGATCAGAAAAACAGAAATTGCAACAAATATGAGGATAAAGTCTAAGCTAAATACACTTACGTATTCAAAATGGTAAACTTTCAACATTAAAGCAAATATACTGTATAAAAGCCTAAGGATGCAATATTATGTAAACCATTTAAGCAATAAAGTTGCCCAATGCAAGAGATATATTTTTTCTGTATTTACAATACATTACCTTCCCCTGATTACAACTGAGGTAAACTGTACAACCATAAACCTCTAAGGATAAAAGTATTTTTTACAACATCTCATCTTAACAATATTCAACAATACTTTAAAGAAAAGCATGTGCAATTTATACAAAAAATGCAATAAATACAAAAGCAAAAATAATGATATAGTAAATATTGGTTACATTTATGGAAAAAATAATACATTTGTCATTGTTTAAATGTTAAACAACTATTTAAAATGCAGTTTAACAATTAACTTCCCTGTAGCACATTGTTGTTGTGCCCTTATAATACAGTTCTCTTGCTTTTATTTGCATATAAACCTATAAATCCACATGATTTCATTCAAAAGCTAGGAGGTGGTGGACAAATCTAATAGTGTCCATATGGCCACACCAGTTGCCTGATTATCATTGCTGTGGTCTGTCCAGCTGAAACATCCCTGTCAATTATTTGTTAATGTGGAATACTGTGGATAAATGTGTCTGGGGAGTCCCAAGTCAAGACCAGACTCCCTCTGACTGGAACTAAAACCAATGATTTCATGATGCAATAACTTCTGTCTGAGAAGCCTAGGTCAAAAATGTTTGTGTTATTTTGAGATTTCTCTACCAAAGTCCAGGCTGAGTAAAATGACTTAGTAAAAGTCAGTGCAAAGAGACATTTATTGCTGAATTCAGCACCTGCACTGAATTCACAAAGATGCTAACTGAACAATTCTCAGTATAGCAGATTACACCAGTGCTGCTTTCTCTACGTGAGGTCATTGCAGCTCTTCTGCAAGTGTTAACATTTCAGTAAACAGCTCTGGAGGTGTTTCCAGGCCACGAGAGAAACGTTGTCTTTGTCTACCATGAGGCCCAGGTGAGGGTGAATCAGGCAGTGCCACATATTGCAGTGATTCTGAGCCAAAGCCCATGACATTCCCTGACATCATATCTGCTGTGGCCGACCAGCTTCAGAGATGCTGCCTGCTCACCAAGATAGCAGCAGTAACCAATAGAAGAGAACAGGAAGGAGTACTCCCATGTCAACACCTGGACATACGCTTGCGGTACTGGTCCACCAAGGGCACCAGACACTGGGGGGTTCCAGACTGCAGGAGGAAGGGATGTTCTAGAAGATCAGTGGCACTGGCTCTTTCCAAAGGATCCCGGGTCAACATGCGGTCAAGAAAATCCTTGAGAACTGGTGAGATCTATTAAGTCACAAAACAAAATATTTTAAACTTAATACACTTATTTGTACACTATTCAGCATATTGACTCAAATGGAAAAAAATAAACTGGTGCTATCGGAGAACCATAAGGCACAGAGGCTAATGGCATTTTCTATTATAATCTGAGGCACTGCGACAATAAGGAACCTATGTTGCTTTCTAATGAATTACACAATTTTCACCAGCAAGGTTAAGACTATGACCCTCTTTCTTGGGCTTTGAAAAGAGCATATTACATGTGAATACCAGCCATTTAATTTATAGTATGTGCCCAGTATTTTCCAGATAGTTCAGCATCAATGGTTCCCCGAGTGAAATTCATGTGGAATCAGTTTTTAACACTGTCATCAGATTTAACATTTTCATCATTCTAACCCAATAACCATACTTTGAAGTCAGAAAAGCAGTATCAGTCATCTCATTGGGTACAGTATGTTACTCAAAGAAAAGTCAATAAATATGAATGACATTAGATTCCTATATATAACGTGTGTAAAAATAACTGGTAGCACATGATGGTCTGTAGAACTAAAAAAAAAGGGGTCCGCACACCTGGAAAGGTTGGGAACCATTGTTCTACATCTGTTTTATTGTCATTGATCTCACAATGGAAAAAACATGACTCATTAGGAAATATAATGTCAATTATAAAAATGCCAACCCTGAAGGCTCTCTCTAGCTATGCTGAATTGCTACTACGTGTTTTCTTTTCTTTGTTACCTAACAGCAATAAAAACTATTATTCCCCACAATAAGTAGTTCTTTCAATGACATTATACTGTGGGCTTGCTAGATAATTTCTTCATGGAAGGGAAAGCATTGAGATAGCATGTGCCAGTGCAGCTCACCTTATGGGTGTTTCTCACTGTTGGAGCTGGTTCGTCTCTAAGTCTTTTCATGGCCTGCACTGGTGCTTCACTGAAGTAGGGGGGCTCGCCATCTATCATCTCCACCACCATGATTCCCAGGGACCAGATATCCACCTGACAATGACCACAAACGCAAACTACTGTATAAAACACAAGCAAGGACACAAACCAAACACTATCACAAGAGAGTGAGCTACAGTAACTGTTTGAATATAGATTAAGATGGGGACATGCACTGCAGCAGTCCAGTCGTAGAGCAACTGCTTAACTAGATGTACAGTTTACAGTTCTGTTCTGGAAAATATTTACAAAGCTTACAGAGTTATTACAGAAATGCAACGATTTGAAACAAATGTTGCATCCTCAAATCCAATACCATGAAGATTATAGTGAAATTTTAGTAGATATTTCTATAATAAATACATGAAAATAAATTATTTATTATTAAGGGGGTATCTGAGCTTAGATGTGTGGACTGCATATATTGAAGACATTCTTACAAAGAGATAAATGTTTCATCTTTCTAACCTACTGTTGTAAGGTGCAACAGGTGTTGTGTTGTAAGGTGCATTTGAAAGAGGGTCCTTACTGGTTTTCAGGATCTGAGCTAACAATGTCCTCGTTCTCAAACTCATAGCAAGTATAAATGACTAGGTTCAAAGAAAATAGTGACATCTTAACTTTTCATTTTCCCTGCCTGTCATTTCTGTATTCAAGCAGTGATGATTCACTGTGTTCAAATGGGTTTAAATTGAGCTGTTGAGGCAGGGGAATCATTGTTTAAAGCACAAGAAATGTCTTTTGTTGTCTAGTGATGGTCATCTGGTCCATAAGATTGAATCATTAAGAAAGTTGCATGATTCACTGGAAAAATGAAATTACTGCAACACAACAATACATTGTGCTAAATTTGGTTTGGTATGAATCGCAGTTTAACTTAAGAAATATTTTGTTGTATTATTTATCTTGAGGGTACAGGAAAAATGTAAAGTGTATTTCTAATGTCTATATAATATCTCAGCATAGTTTAAAGACATTAAAACAGACAGATTAATACCTTGACAAATTAAATTGCATATTAATAAGTTGAGTGAGTTTCTAAATTGTCCTGTTTCCTTACCTCTGTGCCGTAAGGTGTTTTGGAAATTACTTCAGGAGCCATCCAGTATGGTGTTCCCACCAGAGATTTTCTCTTAGGGATATCCTTACTAATCTGCGCGCAGAATCCAAAGTCTGACAGCTTCACCTACACAAAACAAACAGAAACTATATCATTTTTTTTATTACCATCTGTGGTCTTCCAACTACAATTCATGCAATACACCATGTATTCATCCTCATAGCATCTAGAACTTTTTATCATTAAAAAGGAAAACTGATGCTAAAGGTATCCTGATTAAATACATCTTAATTGCTTCTCATGTGCTGGATATTTTGTGCTGATTCATTTACACATCAATTTAATCAATATCAGAAAGTAAACTTTTGAAGAATGGTAATTAGTTTAATTCATAAATGTGTTTCATTTGATAGACTCTTCCCTTTGTGGGTATTGTTTTTCTTCCTTAGCAAACTGTTATGTAGAGTGTTCTTAATGAACAAATGAAAACCACAAATCAGATATCAGGACTGTATTTTCGTGATTACTGAAACAAATGTGTCACGAAATGGAAAAAACCAAGATGCCAGTGCAAATATCTGTGTTTACCCTTAATCCTGTATAAACAAACTCCAATTGTACATCAAACTTACCCGTCCATCAACAGTGAGGAGAATGGAGTCACTCTTAATGTCTCTGTGAATCACCCCCTGTGAATGTAAGTAGGCCAGAGCCTGTAGGACTGCCTCACACACCGTCGCTATTTGCTCCTCATTTAACCTGCAAATAATAAAAAACTGTCATTTTCCTGCATTCCCAAAAATACATAACATTAAGCATTTCCAAAATAATTTTCTCACTGAGAAAATAAGATAAATCTACCTGAAAAAAAGAATTTAATCTAATGATGTATTTAAGAATAAGATTATATTTATTTGATTTAAGCTTGTTTTGGAAGATTAACTGGAGGTTTATTTTCCGGAAATGCTGCAATTGTGGCTTGAGTTCATGTACTAATCAACTTTTAAACTACAGATGTGACAGGTGTAGAAAGAGAATTAAATGAGTAACCCCCACAGTACATAACCCTATCTTGAAAGGTAAACAAATACTGTAGGTGGGTCATAACACAGGATACAGCTCATAAGAAAGAGTTGATAAGCATATAGTTCAAAAATTAAACTCATTTTTTAATGTAAGTAGGACAGTGTACATTGCCTCAGATGTCTCATTTAAACTGGAAAAATACTACCATAATTTTAACTACCAATTTATAACATTGGACAGTTTAAAAAATGTATATTACACTGAAATATAATGTATATACCTTTTTACCCTTAATCCTCTGACATAGATATTGAACTACTGTATGCCTACATTATTTAGTCCAATGTTCCATTCAAAATGAAAATTAATCAGTTCAAGAAGTTAATGAATATTGAAGGTGTTGGGCCACTGTGTAGCTTTTTATTTTTTTATATATTTTTTTAATTTTTAACAGAGGTGGATCTGCTCAGCTCTGGACAGGAAAGACATGAAATGTACACCAGAAAAACAACATTGTATCTCTGTTTTAGATTATTTTCTGCATCTTGGCACACATCTCTTCCAGTCCTCCAAGCTAATGTTTTCTTTTGTCTTTTCCAGGCTTGATTCTTGTGATGCAGTGCCAGCCGTACAGTATATCAAAACACTGCTGCTCATCTTTAAGAGTTTGAAAGTTTGGCTTCTGACTACATCAGAGAATTGTTAACCCCCTATACACCTACACATGGCCTGCACTCCATGGACTCTGACCTTCTTCGTTCCCAGTATGAGGTTCCTAACACAGGGAGACTGTACTTTCTGTTCTGATGCTCCAAGGCTGCGGAATGATCTCAGAGCCCATATCAGATTCTATAATGCAGTTAAAACTTTAAGATCCTGTCTTAAAATTCACTTTTAAACTGTTTTTAAATCTATTTGATTTGCTGTTTTATTATGTGTTTTTGTGCATCTGTCCGGATTTCTGGATTGCTTTATCGTACAATGCCTTGAAATGATATACCATGAAAGGCACTAAAGAAACATAATAAATCATTTATCACAATTTAAAATAAATACAGTAAAAATGAACGTATGGTTATTGTGTAACATATTCCCCATCCATTCCTTTCTGTTATAGAGGTTCTTCTGCAACTTCTGTTCTTCTGTTCTGTTTTAACAAGCCACTTATTTATTTTTTTGACAATTAATGTATTTAATCAAACAACAAGGAAGACAATACATTTTTCAGGTGCAATCAATAATATCAGCCGGGGGTCAGTGTGGATATTCAGTTCAGAAAGCTGGACTCACAAGAGGAGAGATTAAAACCCTGTTAAGGACATGGTTGCTGTACTACGGAACAATGATGATTTAGCAAATTGATTTCACCCAATCCTGGAATATAAATTAGAAGCAAAACTGTTATGTGAAAAAGAGGTAATTACAACATGGACAACAGGCAGAGATTTCTCCTAGTGAAAATTCATCAGTTTTAATTTTTCTCATATTTTCATGAAAACATGTAGGGCTGTAATATTAGCCAGTAATATAGTATTAGCGAGTAACATTGCACTTCTTAAAACATCATAGACAGAAATAGATTTTAACAAACATGCAAATACAATTGCAATCACAGACCATACACTGTTGTCAGTCAGTATTACATACATCTCCCCTGAAAAAATGATCGAATCCTTCTGTGGTTTATGCTGTATGAGGTTTCTAAATCCAATGAAAAATTAAAAAAACAAAGGAATCAATTAAGGATTCTGGTTTCACTTCACTGTTTTGTATTGCAGTATTTGATTAGTTTTTGTAAATTCAAACTTCAAGGCAAATCTGGCACCACGTACACCTTTGACTTCACTCCTATTACAGCTGTGGAATCATTTTCCTTCATATAAAGTTGTTAGACTCCTGTTCGGCTATGAGAGTACAGTACAAGCAAAAATATTTTTGTATAACAGCACATCTTCTTTGAGAGTTCATAAAACATAATGACTTACCTGGTTTCAGATACAATGTTAGTCAGAGCACCACCCTGCAGGTACTCCATTATAACCCAGAGCTCCTCCTCTACCAGGGCACTTTTATACATCTCTACCACATTTCTGTGTTGGTAATCTCTCATTATGACAACCTGAAAGAAACATTAAGAATAGTGTGTATGGTATAGAATTAACACCATAATCCATTAAACAAAATATAGAACATTCTGTCAATATTTCTACAAAAAACAAATTAGTCCATTAAACTTCTTTATACATTGGAGAAATGTGTCACTGCAGAATGCCAAATTCATAAAAGACTGTGTAGTAGCAAGGACTTTCATTTTACTTAAATTTAAGTGTTATTAAAGATTTCTAATAATCTTTGTGTGCCTTGACCTAGCAGCCAAGTGCTGTCTGTGGATGGAATGTGGCTAAAGAGGCCCCTCTGATGAGAGACATCATAAAGCTGAACAATGTAATGATATATAATGCGAATGGGCTCCAGTAGGTCTCCAGGCTGGTTTCTTCCCAAAACCACAGGTCAAAGATCACTATCCACCACCCTAAGGAAGATTCATCAATTGGGGATGTGTTGGGTCCAGAACCAAACCTAATGGCCTCTACGTCAATAAGCAACTGGTGATGTCGCCTGTATAACCTGTAACCAAACACAACTACGCCAGTTAACCACTAACTTGAAATCTCTCTCTAAACTTGCAAATAGACTTTTACAACCACGTGACTGCAGACAGTCCAAGTCATTACTTAAACTTTTCTCCAAGACACCAGGCTGAGAGGGTAAGTCAGTAAAGTGCAGAATTCTGGCCAAGATATTCATTCTGAAACAGAAGAAGACTTGCTAACCCACGGTTATTATTGCCTGATCAACAAAATTAGACAGTTGGACTCTTTCTTTGTGGCGGCAACACAATACCTTTGGCAGAGCTGCTTAAGCCCCAACCCAAGCTGCTATGGAAACCAATTATTTCTACCATCGCAAAGTTTATAATCATCAAGGACATTTTGACAAAAGATGTGTTGAGTAAAATTTCATAATTTGGAATTATTCACATAATTCTGGAGAGTTAAATTATCATTACAAACGTATGTTTTTTGTTTAGTTCATGACAGTAAATGTATATTTACTTGTGTCTGAGATTATAAACATGATTTAGTTATACGAGACTGATAGAACCTACAAGCTAGACTGTAACACTGTATATTTTAACTCAGAAGTTATTATTTGAGCTTTCATATCAACACAGATTGTTTCACAGATACAGTACGTATTCTGTTTGTTGCTTGTTATGCATGTTTTGGTTATATCAATAAAGTGTATGTTGTATATTTAGAATCTACGTTATTATCTAATTATCTAAGATTGATTGGTTCCAAAAAGTCATCAAGTAACTCTCATAATTTAGCGGTACAATTTCTGATTGTTACAGCAAATTTAAACTCAAAATCTCCTACAACTGCTTGTTTCTGAAATAAAGCTATAAATAGCTTTCAGCTACCTCTGAGCACATGACAAAAACTTGGTTTCACATTTGAAAATGTGGCCCGAATGTCAGCTCCTTACGAGAAAGAGTTGTACCTCATTGAACAACAGCTCTCTGCGTTGCTGCTTCCTGAGGTCCATCATCTTCACAGCTACTTGACGTCCACTGTGTTTCTCTCTGGCTATGCACACAACCCCAGTTGAGCCCTCCCCTATCTTCACAAAGTTCTCCAAGTAAGTCCGAGGGTCTCCCTTGTCCACAACCATCTGGAGAGCAGCCTTGAACTGCTCATGGGTTACTTTGGGCGGGTCCTGGACAGGCTTAGGAGAAGCATATGGAGGGGGCTTAAGAGAAGGGGAGCAGGTGATGGGTAGATTGGTAGCAGGAGATCCAGTTGGAGAAGGCCTGGGCTGAGAGGGACTGTCCTGTCGTTGCAGAGCTGGCGGGGGGCTGGTGGCTGTTTTCAGAAATGCATTTGTGCCGTTCTGTCTAGGCAGTAGTCCGATCGTGTAACTGGACGAAGGCCGCAATGGTTTATGAGTTCTTGTGCCTGTTATCAGAGGACTGCTGGTGCCATTGGGCAGGAAACCATGCTGATGTCTCAAGACTGAGTCTGCCTGTAAAGGCAGAGAGGAGCGTTTGTATTATTGCAGTGATTTACATTTAAATTTCTCAGTGAAGGACAGAAATAACATCCCTGCTACAACCATTGCACAAGATGCAGTGTAGATTCAATCTAGACAATGAGCTGCTATTCATTTCCAAGCAGATGTTGGCCTTTTAAATAATTTATAAGTAAGTTCTAGTAAAAATTAAAATACATATTTTATAAGCAAGAAATGCAAGTTACTTATAAAATGTGTTATTTATCAAAATAAAACATGCAGCATAAATAACACCATTGCAGTACATTAAGCTAGAATTCTAAAATACACTTTGTATTGTAAATTGCACCTTGTAAGAGGTACATTACCAATTCTGTAATTACATAAAGCTAATAGTCCAGTTTTGTGAGTAATGCCTGCTGAACAGGCATTAAAAAAGCAACAGAGGAGTTTTTAATGCCTGTCAGCATATTAATGCTCATTAGAATTACACATGAAAAACTGACATTCAAAAAAGAAAATGTAAATGGAGGGCTGATCATGACTCATAGTGATCTTTGAAATATCATTTGACATATTTCTATTTTGCCTTCAAGGCCCTGTCAGCTCGCCAACACCCATGTTCCTGCAAAAACCCAAGCTACACAAACATCCTTCAAGCTCTGATTTTCAATAACTTGGATTGTTTCTCTTTCTTCTTCTGATTGACATCCCCTCAACAATTTAATTTTTTAATAGTAGTAGGTTTAACAGAAGGAGACGGACCTGTAACAAGGACAGGTAAATATTCTTGTCAGGGGAATCATTGAAAAAAGCAACCTTATGGCTGCAAAGTCTAACTGTGCAAAATATTTGCATAGTTCAGTTAGAGCAAATAAGGTTATAGTAGTATTTCATAGAGTATTTCATTTGATGTTTATAAAATATTATAATTTTCCAAATCTTATATAATCTTCCAACATCTTCCAACATTTTTGTGTTCGATCTTGCAGATAATGAGGATAATAACTGGTTGCATCTTTTTAGTGTTTTTGATCCTAAGGGATCCCAAAACATTTCACAAAAGGGCTCACCTCATAGATTTAGGTTCACCACCCATCTGGATTGCACACAGTAGCCATTACGTGACAGCAGGCACACTGCACACAGCTGATCAGTCAAAGTGAGAAATTGCTTAAGAACTTTAGGCAAGGGCCCCAAGTGGCTTTAACAGAATTTATCTTTAATGTCTCATCCAAAGGATGTCCTAAAACACAAAGTGCCCTTTGATCGTTCTATGTTATAGTTTTTTTTAATTCTGGTTCAGACGGAATAGTGCCACCTACAGGTCCACCCGTGCACTCACAGCAAACTGTAATGGTCCTCACACAACTCTTACAATGCTGCATGACTCCTCTCAGGCCCAGAAGTCATTGGAACGCCTGATCCCAGCTGAACACATGCACAAGTTGACAAGTGGAACAGACTTCCTTTCTAAAGGATGTGTGGTGGCTGTAAGGTTGCCGGTTTGTATCCCGTGGCCGGCAGAGGAATCCTACTCTGATGGGCACCTGCTGACCCCGTGTTCTGACCCCAAGTTTCTCTCCCTGTCTCTATATCTCATGGAGAGCAAGTTGGGATATGCAAAAAGACAAATTCCTATTACAAGAAATGGCCAATAAAGTGATCTTATCTGAAACATTAGTATTAATGGTATTAAGTCTGAAAGTATCTTAGGCTCCTGGCAACAAACAGTGTTTCAATGTTTGCTAGCTTTGAAAAGCTGTAACTCACAAATCACGTTTCACTGCCATGCAATGCCATCTTCACTTAAAGAATAGCCTGCTTTTAAAATAAAAGAGCTCTTTTGCAAATGCTCCAAAATTGACAATACGATGATTATTATCATGGCTTGTCAAGCAAGGGTTGTTTATGAAGATCATATTCCAAATAATACCTAGAGAATGCTCTAATTCCAGTTAATATGTACCATAATGTCCTATAATTTCTGTTCCCTTCTATTCTTAGGAATAATGCAGTTAGCAAAGAAAAAATAAATAAATTAAGTGTGTCCTCACTCAGTGAAGCCCAAGGCAGAAAAAACAAGAATGCTAAATATGCATCTATCTTAAAATGTGGGCATAACAGGTTTTTAGAACAACAACAGCCCATTTAGCCTCCCAGGGCCTGTAGTTCACGTCAACAGTAAGACACACCAGAGTATTGACTGTGCTAGAATAACCAAGGGTTATAGCTCGGGGGTACAATGAGCCTTTGAGAGTCGTATATGACTTGTTAAAGGGTTCAGTGCATTTCAGAAATAAAGAGATATAAAAATTGTATATATAAATAAGACATTTTAAAAAATAATTATTGATTGGTTTTTTTTTAATATAAGGTTGTGCCAGGGAAAACATAATAAATCAACAATCAAGATTAAAATTACTTAAGGCGAAGCCTGACATTTTGTTGTCACTGCTGTTATTAGAAAGAAATAGTGGATAATTTAAAAGCAATTTTTAATGTGCAATACAATAAAATCGAAATATGGCTTTTTATTTGTTAATATATTTTAGAATAATAACATCATTAGCTACAGAAAATTTAAAGGTTCATTTCTGGGGACTTCTTTTTCATTTTAAAATGTTTCCAGCTAATCACATAATAATCATAATCTGATGATTTAGAATGTACATTCTGATAATCAGGATATTGTTATTTTTCATGATAGAAATTGGATTTCATCTTATTTTAAACATTTTTAAATGTGTTTCTTAGAATTTCTAAAAAGCATGTTTTCCAATGGAATTTATTACGGAGCTGTAAACATTGGCTGATTTGATCAGTTAAACCTTACCTGTAAGTCATACGAAGAAAATGGCCGCCCAGGGCTGTTGAGAGGCCTCTGCAAGAGCCTGAGCTCAGGGGTGTTGGAGCCCGACTCGGCCTGCTGCTGTCCATCTGTTAAGTGATTTCCCGATGTATAGAAGCAGGAGACAGGCCTCAGCTCAAGAGGAATCCTCCCGGGTGGCTTTTCTCTTTTCATCACGTTGGGCTGATGGTTGAAATTCAGTTTTTCTGTTGAGCTGCCCAGTTCACTGCCTTGCTGAAGGCTACAGCTTGATGGTGTTTGGCTGTCCGGAGACGTCAGAGATACTTCATGAGTGGACTTGGCCCTTGGCAGCATGCCATTGGCTTGGAGAGTAGCGCTCTTCCTCAAGCCCACGTGCGGACTCCCACTTTCACTCCTGACATTCCGGACTCTGTCCTTCCAGCGCTGGCCCTCACTTTTCCCATTCTGGCTCAAGTCTTCATACTGGTAGCTTGTGATTTCTTTGACTTCTCCCAGCCGACCCAAAGACTGAGCCCTCTTTCGTGAGGATGGGCTGGATTTTCGCAAGGAATTGGAACTCGTCACGGAGAGCCTGCTCAAGTCTGAGAGGGCTGCTGAGATGTAGTCACCATGGCCGATAAAGCTTCCACGTACAATGGTCTGAAAATGAAAATGGAAATGGAAATAATCATAATCCCTTAATCTTTGTTTTATTTTTTTAGAGTTCTGTTGCATTTGTATCAAACTATATCTGTCTGGTGTGTGGACCAGGGAATGTTTGTCTCATATTTGTAGAAAATGAAGAAGCAGTAACACGTGTATTTATGTGTATGTCTGTTTTTGTGTGTTAAAAATAATTATCTAGTTTTAAAAAATCAGTGACAGGAATAAAAGACCATTAAAATGGTCAAAATAATTTTTATGAGGAGTAAGCTTACATCTGCACATAATGTTTGATGATTTTAAATTTGGATTATTCATTGTCATATAAATGAACCTTTTACAAAAAAAACAAGGTTAAAATCTGCTGCTTATTATCCTGGATAAATCTGAACACAAATTGCTTCCATTTTCTTGAAAGCGAGCTTGAAATGTACAGCAGCACAGAGGATCATTTTCTTAAATTCCACTTTCATTTGGCAGGGAAAGAGGCAATAAAATGGTATTTAAGTTGAAACATCATAAGAACTATAATGATAGCATTTTTGTCAGAAGAAAAAGTGACATTTAGGATTCAAAAGAATTTCATTACCCCAGATATTCTATCTTGAGCTTTTAAACTAACCTCTTAGAATTCTTGTACCAGTTATGAGGCCTCCATGCACATATCATCTGCATCAAAATGAAAATACTTTTTCAGGAACTATTTCACTTCTTCCCTACCAATGCACACAAGTAATTTGCTGTTGCTGAGAGCAGGGATGGTATTATTTGGTTGGAATCTTTTTGACTCTCCAAACACCTCCTCAGGCCTATAAGGCTTCTACAGACAAGAATTCATATAAGTGAAGGATGTACTACACCTCTAATTAGCACTACCCCTTCTGAATGTGGCTTAGAGTATATAAAATGCTTATTAGCGTAAGGGCTGGCCAGGTTGGAGATGCTGTCTGCACTTTCTTATTGTACAAATGCAGTACAAGAGTTGTTGCTGTGACCTGAGAATTGAAGAAACAATTGACTTTTGAAAATTGTGAGGATCTACAAAAAATATCTTTGGCAGTTGTATGCGTTTGACAATAGAACAGTACTGCTGATGTATGTGATTTACAAATCTGTGCTCACTTGCAGCACTTAGAATCTGAATTTCTACTCCTGAATAAAGTTCAGGAATATATTCACAAAATCAACCTATTGCAATACTTCTAAAGGATGAAACAAAGGCCAGTAACGTAAGTGTAACTGAAAAAGAAATGTATACACAGTAAGTCTAAAAATGGGAGACTGGTCTTTTAGCAAAGGCTGTTCCCAGCCATTTTGCTGGAGCTGATTCCTTTAAATATATTCTATAACTGGATAGATGAGGTGCTTAGATTACTAAACTACTAAAGTGGACAAAATGGATTTCTCTTGTCTGTAACCTTATACTCCTGTGTTCCTAGCAAATTGCATTCATATCAAACCATATTCAAACTTTATAGGTCACATGCATGAGTCACAATTTCATTTTTGAATACAAGAGTCTATTGCCATGGAAGATATCTGTTTCACTGACATACTATTACCTTATGTATCAAGTACTTTTATAATCCATTTCTGAGAACTTCATTGATAATATTATTTGCGACTTTCAAATGATAAAATACATTGTTCAAATGACAGTTTTCAAAAGTTAGATAAAGAGGGAACAGACAGAACTCTAACAGGTGTGTCCTGAACACAACTGGGTTGTGCTTCAATTCAAAATCTGCCATCTCCAACAGATTTTTGTCCATCCCTTCCTCCCACAGTGAAAGAGGAAATGTGCTTTTAAGCTTTGGTGTTGTAAAGGGATAAAGTTATTCTTGTCGAGTGCAATGAATCAAATTCCATCCATCCATCTGTATGACTCATAAAATTGACTGATTCAAGCCCAGGAAGCAAACAGTACTTTTACTCACAGAGCATTTGACATTTGACAAGGTGCACTGGAGGACAGGAGCAATTAGAATTGTTCTGCTCTACAGCACTATTTTTTCTTTATTTCTTGTAGCTAAGGTCTTAATTTCAAATTGTATTTTGTTATCTATTCCCTTAACTGATTTTTTCCTCATTCAGTCTTTCCCTTCCAAAATATGCTTCTGTAGATGCCAATGTATTTATTTAAATGAAAGAAATATGTTCAGGCTGTCCTAAATGTGTGTAGAAATTGTTGCTTAATAACAGCTATCTAAACTGTTCATCATACAGTAAGTCACAAAATAGTGATATGCAGACATGTGTATAATATACTCATTCAGTAAATATTTTTAGTTTGTATTGGCCAATTTTGTTTGCCTTATGTGGCATTGCATTAAATTCCAGACATTGATTTATTGAAAACAATATCTATGTATCTATGAGAGGAGAGCACTTGGTACAGGAGTAAACATTGTCAAATAGTTTGAGCTAAATGTAACTTACAGTAAAAACAAAACAACTTAAAATATTGATATTTACAATGAAGATAAACAAAGATTTACTCTTTGTTTTTTTCTCAAAGCATAAATGGCAGCACAGAAGGGATCCCTAGAACAAGGACTGTACAAGTTTTACAAGTTTTTTATCTTTTTCATTGATTTAACAAAGATATTTTATTTTCAGCTTTGAAATGGCATTAAATAACTATACAGCACCACCATTCTAACCTCTATCTCCTTTTCTGCATGTTTCTCTTCCTCTTGATTCATACCTGTCTCAATCTCACACCCAGTGAACACCTGTGGGCAAATTTTATATACAACTCCAGAGCACACATTCCCAAATATTTTAATAACCCATAATGCAGTTCTAAAAGACAAGGCAAAATGCCTCAAAGCAAAGAAAATACTTTTCTTTTGCCCCATTTGAATCAAGCTTAATTGATGTGTCAACTTGTATACAGTATGTATGTCTTGAGCTTTTATGATTTGTGCCTGGACTTGCCTGGAACTCCTTTTAAATGAATTCTCGATCTCTAACATTTCTCTTTTTTGAAATGTTAGGAAAAAAACAGAGCACTTTCAAAGCACAATCGACCTATATATAATTTTTAATTTTAATACTGGACCAAAACCCTTTCTTTAAATTTGACTCACACCTATTGAGTTTAACATCCCATTGTTTGTCCAAGGTGTAATTAAGATTAAGATCACTTTATTGGCTGTATACAATTTCTTGCATTAGGAATTTGTGTTTTCGCATACCCTAGTTTGCTCTCCATGAGACACACAGATGGGGTAAGAGAAGCTTGGGGTCAGAGCTCAGGGTCAGCCATTTATACAGCGTCCCTGTTGGAGTTAAGGGCCTTGCTCAGGGGCCCAACGGAGTAGGATTCCTCTGCAAGCCGCAGGATTTGAACCTTCCAGCCATTGCGCCACCACCCCACCCCCATGTATGAAATCCTTATCATATGTACTGTAGTACAGTTCAATTACACCAAGAAACCTGGACATCAATACGCAAAGAATTTCACATGGTCTGAAACAGTTAAACGTTACAGTCACCGCGAGCCTCCTTACATAGATTTTGATCAATGTTTAAAATTAATTTTAAGAATTTGCTCTTGACTTTTGTTCTTTTAGCACAACAAACTTTGAATTTTTTTTTCTGTTGAGTATATTAATTTAAATAAAATATTGAAAACATGAACATGGTGAATTTTAAAGTGACGTGTAAAATACTCTCAAACAATAGTTACATTACCATTCTTTCTAATCATGTAGAAGTTTTACAAGTTTTGTAAGGTTTCTGTAAAACTTGTGAATCCTGGCATTCTTTCTGAAACCTACATACAGTACAGTACAGCAGAAAGGTTCTATAGAGGTGAAACATGACCTACTCACCTCTCACCTCCTAAAACTTTGTCGATAGTCCGGAATTACAAATGAAAAAATCAAATAATTCTAAGTAAATCCTTTTTTAAGCAGACGATAATACAGTGATCTTCAGGGAGTAGTACATTGAAAGAGTCTAGAAAAGTTTAGTGTAAAACAGTTCAGCAAAGTTTGGCATTATCTACCACTATCATTGCATTGCACAACTTAATAATGTCATCACATTGTTACAATGAACAATGTACAGAAACGCAATAACCCTAACCACTGTAAATGTCAGGACACATATTACTTCTTTTCCCCTGAAGTTTTTTTTTCTCTTCACACTCAGCTTGTAACCTGTAGTTGATTACACGAATCAAACGCAGAAAAGAGATGCCCTGATTTACTCAGTTTTTTCTCTTCAATGAATTGGAGGTTTGTTTGAATGTGTCCAGCCTTGAAAATCCCCTGTATGACACCATACTCCCTTTTCTATACTTAAAAGCAAATTACAAAGGTTTTGCCCACATCTTTGTTCACAACCTTTTCAAATTATGTCACACCTGGGCAAGCATGTTTGCAGTGGCTTTGTAGTAGGAAAAAAAGCTACACAGTCAACACGTAGCAGGAATCTCATTAGTGTAATTAACTAACAAGATGCATGGTACATCATGGAGTTTATAACAAAAGTTCGGGAGGCATGACAACAACAAAGCTCAATCAGACTCAGCTGTCAGTAATTAGCAATCGCTCCTGACAATCTATTCCTCTATAAATACCTACAAGATCCCTATCTCTCTCTCTTGCAAGTCTCTTGCATCCCTCCATCCCATCTCCACCTCTGCAGCTACCCCTTGGTCACCCTCCATGGGGGTCCTGGTCTCCTTGTCCTGTGGCTGGACCCCCAATGGCCTCAGCCATTTCGCTCCATGACACTTTCATCTTGGGTGTTTGTCATTCCTCGTGAAATAAATATATTGCCAAATGTGCACTACTATTGAAAACATTTTTAAACCATTACAAACAAAAGAAAGAAAATCTATACTTAAATAGTTCAAGTAGGTAGCTGAGTCAGCATGTGTAGGCTGCAAAGGAACAAGTAAAAGTTTATTCCATGCTGAAAAGAGAAGAAAGGAAACACAACGTTTCAGCTGTGGAACCTTCTTTAGGTGTGCACCTGAAGAAGGCTCCACGGCCGAATTGTTGTGTTTCCTTTCTTTTCCTTATATACTTTATGTTTTACAGTGAAAATGTGGGATGCCCTTGATTTTAGTGGATTAATAATAATAATAATAATAATAATAATAATAATAATAATAATAATAATTGCTTACACTTATATGGTGCTTTTCTGGACACTCCACTCAAAGCACTTTACAGGTAATGGGGACTCCCTCCCACCACCACCAATGTGCAGCCCCACCTGGATGATGCGACGGCAGCCATAGTGTGCCAGAACGCTCACCACACATCAGATATTGGTGGGGAGGAGAGCAGAGTAATGAAGCCAATTCAGAGATAGGGATTATTAGGAGGCCATGATTGGATTTTTCTTTTCAAAGAAAATAAAATAGTTTTTACACAGATGTTTGCATTTCAGACAGAGGGGAAGTGTCTCTGATATATCCTTAGCAGGGAAAAAATATGCTTGTTAAGACTGCAACAGGCTGTCGGGAATACATGTTATTTTGGCTTACACTACAAGCAGCAACCCCTTTCTCAGAGTACTTATTAAGAGCAAAACTCAGAGCTGAAGCAAAATATTGTTTACATGAAACTACCCTTCCATGGACATGTCAACCAGTACATGATTAACAGTCACCATAAATAGCATAATATTAAATATTAAGCTTGAAAGAAAAAAGAAAAATCCTTGACTTCAAAGCCCCTGAAGCAAGGTCTTCAAATTGATTTTTTGTGGAGTTCAGAAATACTTTTCATCCTATCAACAAAATGCCTCCTGGACTTTTTAGCTCAATGTAAAGTTCCAGTGTATCAGGAAAGGCAACATCGAGGTTTAAACACTGCCTTGAGCCATGCCTGAGCTCATTCCATCTGGAAGCATTAAGTGCTATGTCACACAGAAGGTAGCCATTTGCATGATAAAGAGCCTTCCCATTAAAGAGACAACAGGAGAGTCAATAGGTCTTAGTCCCAGTCTTTAGGATCTGCTTTGTTTTCACAGTTTCATGCCAAATTTAGTGGATTATTAATAATTAATCTGATGAATACCTTTGTTAACTGTTTTCAGATATTTAAAAAATCAGAGAGGATTGGAAGTTAGATTTAGGGAGGAAATTCTAAACTTTTGAACTTCATGAACTGCACAATTTAACATTTTAATCCCAAATTCTTAAACCAACCTTAACATTCCTTTTGGCATTGTTCATGGTCTTGGTCAGCCTTTTCTATGAAAGTGGTCACTACAGTGCCTTGCAAACTGAAACAAAAGCCCCATCTACTGTTCAAAACATGTACTTCAGGTCATTTTATTTACACATTATTTATTATAATAAAGGTGGGAAGCTGTGTGAGCATGCATAGTATGCAAAGTAACAAGTAATAGGTTTATTCCATGTTGAAAAGAGAAGAGAGAAAACACATTTTTGCTGTGAAACATGTTTTCTCTCTTCTCTTTTTGGCATGGAATAAACCTATTACTTATTCCTTATTATAATAAAGTTGGTTAACGTTCACAAACACAAAATAACCTAGACATTTTATCTTTGTAAGGCAAGAGGACAATGAAGTACCTGGAGAAAACCAACACAGACATAGGGAGAAACTCAACAAACTCAAAACAGAAGACACTCCGGGCTGAAGTTGCACACAGGACCCCAGCAGCACGAAATAGTACTGCTAACTGCCATTCCAATGTGCCACCCACAAGACCTTATTTCATACAGAAATCCAGATTATAATTTTATTAATGATTTTCAGGAGTATGCATGCATGTGCAGATCATGTATATTATTATAATAATAATATGGGAAATTTAACCTCTACTCTATTTGAGAATTTTTAACACCCCTATTCTTTTCTGACATTTTTAATGACCACAGAGGGTCGGGACCTCGGTTTAAATCTCATCTGAATAACGGCGCCTTTTTACAGTATCGCGTCCCCGTCACTATACTGGGGAATTATGACCCACACATATTATATACGGGTGGTACAATTGTGCAGTGGTAAGCTTTCATACAGATCTGGGGCCATGGTTTCAATTCCTGAGGCATTATAGTATACTGCATGTGTAGGGTTGGTACTGTATGTTCTCCCCATGTTAGCATGGGTTTCCTCTGGGCTCTGGTTTTCTCCCACAGTCTAAAGAAGTAATAGTAGGTTAATTGACTTCTGCAAAAATTTCCCCTGGTGTGAGCGTGTTCATGTATGTGTCTGTATTTGTGTCTGTCTGCCCTACGATGGATTTGCATCCAATCCAGGTTGTATCCTGCCTTGCGCCCAGTGATTGCTGGGTTAGGCTCCATCTCCCCAGCGACCCTGACTTGAATAAAGAGGTTAGAAAATGTATGGATGTGCTGTATGTACCATATGAACTTTGTATTGTTTAATGCAATGCCACAATACGTGATGCTTGTTTTTGGTGAATTGCATGGGATTTGAGACACAAAACTAAGAGTACCACACTGAACTCCTACTACTTTATGGGCCAAACATGTGTAATCAGCTTCAATATTCTTCTAGAGTACTTTGTTCTTCGCCTTCTCTTTCCCATGCATAGGAGAATCAGAAAAAAACTCCTCAGCATTAACTTGAAGGACAACAGCTTTCATATAGAAATGTAATTTTTTATGACAATGGGATGTGGTGAGGTAACACAAAAATGTATCTTCTCGGCATATTGAATTTATCCCAAGTGTTAATTTTGAAAGAATTAGTTTCACTTTTTCACTCAGAGCTCTGCTTATAGGTCATCCTTAAAATATATTAAATGTTATTTGCAGGTATTTTACTGCGCCATGAGGGTTTCAGACAATAAGAGAGTGAAAAAAAATTAAGCTAGAAATCAGTTTGCTGCATACATCCAAATACAAAAGCATGCTATAAATAGATAACATTGGTCACCATAGCTACTGGCAGATCTCTGCAACATCTCCCTGGAATGCTTTTACATTTCCTATCAAGAGCAGAAGGAATAGTGAAAATGTGTCTTAATATGTAAGATACATCATATCAAATCATGGGTGCGAGGCTTCAGAATTGGTTGCTTAATGTGCAGCCTTCTCAAGGAAACAATGACACCTTCAGTATGGTAGACAAAATGTGGCAGTAGAGCCATTGGAAAGAAATATTTTCACATTGCGGAACCCTAACAGCACATCAATAATTGTTTTAATGCTTGGCAATAACTTAAAAACTCTCCACATAAACTGTCCTTTTGAGTTAGCCAAGTCTTTGGAAAATATTATAAAAATCGGCCCTAACAAGTTTGTCCGCATTTGTATCATTTATACTTAATGAAAATAAAACGTGTCAAATTTCATATATGTCATTGTTATCTGGAAATATCCACAACCTGTTATCAAGTAATTGGACAGCTAAAAACTATAGTGGCACAGACTATAATGCAGTTGCAATGAAAATGTTCCAAATTCACAGTTTGTCTTATCACTAAACCACGTTTGCATTTATAAATTTAAAATATGCAGCCACTTATGGTGAAATTAATTACTTTTGTCAATCAACATCAGAATGAACAGAGAGTGCAAAATTGCATACTAAAAAAGCCTGAATATAGAAGGAATAATTTCAAATAAATTCTGATGGATGAAAATGTATACAGCAGTATTGGAACAAAATAGTCATCTGTTATACTGTTTATGTGAAAAACTGTCTATTTCTTTCCATATTGAAAAATAGTAATAGAAGGATTTATACTTAAAAAGTAAAAGTAAAAAAGAAAGTAAAAACATTTAAACTTTAAAATTAGGTCTGTGTCCAAATTTTTCCCTTGCTTAGAGTTGAACCTCAGTGTGTAGGAATACAGTGGCTGTCTGACTGTCATCATTGCCTGCTTGCATGTATATTGCTGAATAAAAGCTGTAAGTGTAACTTCTTTTGCTGATCTTGACATCTACTGTGAATGTTTATTGCATATTACAAATTACCTTTATAGAGCAGTTAGATCTAACATCCTGCTGGATTTTTCATGGACAATATGTATGTATAGCTGTCCCATGCAAAAAAGAACTACATTTGTCAGATGGCTTTCAACTCTTAAAGACGTTTTCCAAAGACATGATCTTAGCTCAATGCAACTGCTGTAGCAAAATAATTCTTCTCAGATATTTAAAAAAACAAGGTTGAAGACTGAATATCTTCTGATACTGAATCAATATCCATGGCAGCACGGGATTGAACTGGCGAGACAACCATAAAAACCTTTTTCTGTTTCAAAAAACATTGTTTCACTTTTATCTAACCTGAGATAAATTCTGTCTAAAACTTTTCAAAACTTTAGGTAAAAATCACTGTTTAACTCTCTGTTATAATTACCTAACTAGCAATTGTCGATAGAGGCTTGAACTTTAATACCCAAGAGGTAGACAAGTCGCAGTCCTTAACCTTGTTACAGTTTACACTGTCCATGTATTTGGAGCAATAAACAAAGTGCAATTCTTTCTTCACGAATGTGAAAAAACACTAACACAACTTACCTTCTTTGGTTTCAGATCCACATTAGTGATTCTGGAGGGATCTACCATGGGCTTGGGCCTTCTGAGGGTCTCGATGAGACTCTGCCATTGCTGGGGGAGGCCGATGAACTTCCCCTGTTTGGGGTCGAAGGAGGTGTGAACCCGGTGTTGAAAGTTCAGCGGTGCTGAGATTTCGGGCCTCTTCTTCTTTTTCTTGCGAAACATTTTCAGGTCCACGAGAGAAAGTCCCTGCAGAAAACAGGGCACATTTTTTTTACAACGAGAAGAATTCATGTCAGGAAGCAAGGCCATTGTGAGATCCACCTGGACAGCACAGGTTAACAGACAGAAAAAGTATGAGTCTTAAAGCTGAGTCTTCGCTTTAAGAGCAGTACAACTTCCTGTTTGTGAATGACAAAAGGAATGCATCCTCTGGCTATGTAGACTCCAGACATACCGAAGAATCCCGGTGAACCTGACTGGGGAGGGGAAATTCATTTTCCAAATATTTTACAAAATACACTATGTAACTTTGACAATTCAAATCTGCTAAAGAAAGAGACATTTTTACATTTAAGAGATGACTGAGGGCTGAAAATTAGACATCTACCATTTACATTCTTGTGTCGATTAGGAGAGTGCCTTGAAGCTGTTTATTTAGTTTTGTTACTCCTTCCCACCAGTTTATAAATCCAATCCAAAATGACATTATCAACAAATTTAAAGACACCATATTGTTTAAGGTGAAGGTGTTATTTTCAGCCTCACGTGGCAAAACCGTTGTCCTCTTTTTGTTAACACCAATGTTTTGCTTTCAGATATTTCTTCCCAAGGGGAAGGAATTCTAGTGTGGGACACAGACACTGATTTTACCACCCATTCTTTTTTATCCAATCTTTTTCATCTGTATAAGCAAACAAAATTGTATGAGAAATCAGCTTTATCTGACTCTACTGTATATAATCTGTTAACTGAAAAGAATGAAGCCTAGTCTATTCATGTAGAAAGATAAGTGTTTCAGGGCACCCAGGTGTGAAATCTGTTCTAAGGAAATTATACTGATTGAAAACCAGAAAACACAATAAATAAACCAAAGGAACAAGTAATAGGTTTATTCCATGCTGAAAAAAAGAAGAAAGAGAACACAACGTTTCGGCTGTGGAGCCTTCAAAAGTTTTAGACAGTTCCTTTGCAGCCTACACATGCTGACGCAGCTTCCCACCTGAATAAATAAACCAATACAAGTTATGTTTTCCTTGAGGCTATACTGTTTAATGTACCAACCCACTACACACTGTAACCTTTATCTTTGGCTTGACATTTATTAAGAAAACTGCTAAAATATTTTCAAATCATATAAAAACATATGAAAGGTTACAAATGAGAGGTCTTGCCTATCTAGTTGTGAGGAATTCAGTAAAATATTTAGTTGTTAAGTGATTTAAAGATCAAAGATTAAATCAGAAGTGGGAAACAGCTGGCAAATGCAATTTTCTTAACCGAAGCTGCTGGATGACAGCTTTCTGTATGATTGAGATTTCTTCTAAGCAATGAATAGAAGTTAAGCGCTAGATCTAGAACTCATGAATTTCATTTGAGTTAACTTTTGATCTTAATTCCTTCCCAGAAGAAAATACAAGGTATTGTTGTATTGAGAAAATAATTATTTTCAATAAGTAAAATACTTATTAAATTGAATTCTATTCAATAAGCTTTGTTGATACATGTGTATCAGTCACTTCTAGTACAAAACGTTTCTGAAAACATAAAAATCATCTGTGAGACGTGGTTAGGGCTATTGACTCAGAACTGGGTTCACAATCCAGTGCTAATGTTCACTTGAGCGAGGCACTTCACTTTAAATTGGCTGCAATAAAGAGTGCAACTGTATAAAAAGGTAAACATGGATAAAAGTGCAAATGAAATTAATAATAATAATAATAATAATAATAATAATAATAATAATAACAGGATAATAACAAGTTATTTGTCACTGAATACTAGCAAACTTCACTGCATTGTTTTTCTTCCTGTGCTGAACAAAAGCAACACAGGACATGCAGACTCTATTGTTACAGTTTAGAAAAATATGAATGATGGAAATGGGGAGGCTCCCATTTCTTTTATGCCAAAGAAAAACTTAATTACACTAAAATGGTTCTGTGGAGAAAGCTAACATTTCCAAACCTTAACTTTTTCAAATGGCACAGGAGAGGTTTTAATTAATTAATTTAATTAAATATTCCTCTCATACTTTTTAATTGTGTACATTAAATAACTGAATACCCTTTGTCTATTTAGTCATTAAGCAAGTGAAAAGCTTAATTCACAATTAAAACAAGTAAAAATGATCACAATACTGTAGGAAACAAATGTAACCCGTTAATTACTAAATCATTTGTTCTGCAATTTATCATTAGTTTAATTTATACCTCTCACATATAGTACATTGAACATGCTGTATTTTCTTAGACATTCTCCCTGTGCAACTGTGAGAAGAAGCATTTCTTTAGAACTCCTCTAGGTCCATGAAATCCTATCATAGGAATGAAGGTCTTGAGCCCCCATAGGAAAACAAATAGAATCCACAAGACACAGAAACTGGCTCAGGAACCAGTTTATTCAATACTGTGTCTTTTCTGCTAAAAAAATACTCTTCTGTGGCAGTGACCTATTTACACAGCATTGCTGCCTGTACAACTAACAATGACAGTGATTTGCTAATTAAATCTTAAAAGGATGAGCTTGTATAACACATCTTCAGTCCGTCTAAAGTAATCACACAAGTAATGCATATATATTGTATAAACAGATGCCATTACTCCTTGTGTAATGTTGAAATCAGAAGACATGATAGGTCCTGAGAAGGAATCTGTGAGACAATGCTTTACATAATAAAAAATAAAGGGAAATTAAAAATAAAGGTCAAGTAACTACTTCCAAAAATACTAAAAGTCTTTTTTCAGCAGGGAGCTTTTGATTACTAGGACAGGAGGGGGTGGTTTGTGTGTGTGTCTAAGACATATAACTTCCTTTTTCGTTTAGATAAAAAGACACGTTCTTATTGCTTTGAGTTACATGCAAGAATTTTTACTTTCAATTCTTTAGTTTATATGTCCCTTTTTATTTGTGTTCTCAGACATAATGAAGATTGAGAAGTCACCAAGCAAACAACCCTCATCTTAGAAAGCTATAGGAATTTATTATATGCAGTCCAGCCAATCCAGAACTTACTTGAATAGATTAATTGCCATCATAATTTATTAACCTTATTTTAGACAATGGCTAAAGACACATCTCACCCACCAATTGGACTTGTGCACTCTACAACCCAAAACTCTGGGACTCCAAGCTGGAGACCAGTGATTCAGAACAAAGGGTAACTAATTCCAGATCTTAAGGGTTACCAGCATTCCATTTTCCATTCTAACTTTTTAAAACTTTCCATTCAAGATTCAGATTTTTCCATTTTCTTTTCTTTCATTTAGACACATTTACAGTTTTTACATCTATTTAAATAGATTATACTTATCAGATTTATTCATAGCTTTGATGAGCTTTAACTAAAAGTTGATTAAGCAAAGAAAATGAAGGCATAGGCCTAAATGTTTCAACATTTATGACTTATAATGGATTTTAAAAAATACAAGGGGGACTGAATACACCCACAATACAAATTTAAAAAACAATTACCACTATTTCTAATTGTATTCATACCCTTTGTATTAGTTGAACATAAATGGTTTATCAATGACATGTCATCCAATTATGAATATGAATAATTATGAATAAGACTAATGGAATGGTTGGTATCCCACAAGGAAGAGGACATAAGAAATGTTAATCTAAATGTGTGGTCAGTGTGGAAGACCGAGTGAAAAGGTCAAAACAGTGACTGTCCTAGGTGCAAACTAAAGCCTGTGATTCTTCACACCCATTCAACCAGAGAGAAATCAAACAGATTGCAGGATGCCAAATGGCATCTTCCTGTACTGTTTGTTTGACTTCTGACACTGCCCCTTTCCCTCTATGTTCCTTTGATATGTTAAAGTCTTGCCTACTTTTAATGTATAAAAAGGAAAGTGTAACTTCAGTCCAGTGAGCATACTGAGTGCAAGGGGAAACCCTTTCTATGTGATATGCTCCCCTTCAGCTGACTGAATTAAGATCTCTGTTTGACAATCTCAACCTGAGTGAAGACTGAGTTTTCTTCGACATCGGAAAAGTGGTTTCGAAGGATAACAGGCTAAAAACTACAGTAGGCATTTTCAAAAATTGCTCTGGTATCACCAGGAATTTGTGACCTTACAGTATGTGTCTGGGGCATATGGCAAACAAGAATGTGCCAAACAGAAACTAGTTTATTTCCAAGTCAAATGGGAATATATAATGTGTTTGAAGGAAACACAAATTACATTTTTGGACATTCCCACTAGGAAAGTGGGAAGATCAGAAAAGTGAAACTCAAGTAGAAAAACAAACGTGATTTGTGAAGAATAGGAATCAAACTGTGATGCCTCAGGCTGGGTTTATTTCTACTGCTCCTGGGGTCCTAGTTAGAACTGGTGTTGAACATTTGTCAGTTAAAATTCAAGATGAGGCACTGCTTTTTTACCCTTGAGTAATGTACATCACCTGAATTGCTCTATTAACGTTCAGAACTCTATGAACGGGCTCACATGTAAGTTGCTTTGAATAAAATTGTCAGTCAAGTGAACTAGTGATAACGATAACAATGTCTGTCTATGCAGTTCTGAAAGTCATGCAGGTCTTTAGCTTTGGATTTGCGTCTGTCTCACATTTTGTTCAGTTCATCAAATGATATTAAGATATTTGGAGACTACTTTATCTAATGCATCTGATGTAAGGAACTGTAAAGGAGCTATAAAATGTTTTGTGACCTGAAGTGAAATTCAAAATTTGTGCAGCATGTCAAATAATGATGTTGAATAAGAGAGAAGAATCATCTTGAAGACTTTGTAAAGCCAGAGGCACCATAACAAAACTTTATCAACTGAGTTTCATTAATTAATTTCTTACACTTATATAGTGCTTTTCTGGACACTCCACTCAAAGCGCTTTACAGGTAATGGGGACTCCCCTCCACCACCAGCCATGTGCAGCTCCACCTGGATGATGCGACGGCAGCCATAGTGCACCAGAACGCTCACCACACATCAGTGGGGAGGAGAGCAGAGTAATGAAGCCAATTCATAGATGAGGATTATTAGGAGGCCATGATTGGTAAG